GGAATACACTGATAACAAACAATAATATTTAAGACCAGAAGGAGAAGGAAAAGTAGCCTTCCTTTCCCAGCAGGAAACCAGTCTTAAGGTATGATACTCATACATTCAAAAGCATTGAATACATTCCAACCCTTTGGTCTAAAGATCTTCAGGAGATTCTCTGGAGAGAACCCACCTTGGCTGGACACTCTCACCAACCAGCAGTACTCAGCTTCCCAAGAGATTCTTGGTTTTAAGAAACCAGTTCAGTTCTCAGCATCTTGCTAATCCTTGTATCCTTCCATTCTCTCTGGAAAAGAAATCATGGATAATAAAGGAATGACTTTGAGAGCTCCAACCCGCTGCAAATTCCACTGCACCCACAGAATGCCTGATAGATATGTCTACAATGAAAAAGGCAGATGGGAATGGTGGCCTTTGAAACATTTTCTAAGGAGAAGAATGTGGAAGGCTATAATATCTATATCTGAATATGGGGAAACTAGAGATATTGATATACTTCCCATGATTAGTTTTATGACAAGATGTTGTACAGGTAGTCCCAGTTCAAGAACGAGTTCTGTTCCTAAGGTCTGTCCTTAGGTCGAATTTGTATGTAAGCCGGAACAGTATTATTGTATAATACTGTACAAGTAGTACTGTATAGTGCAATGAACTCAAATCATTGTGTATTTAAATCAAATTTTGCTACAATAGGCACCGTTCTTAACTATGGGTCGTCTGTAACCCGAATGTTCTTAACCCAGGGACTACCTGTATGCAAAACCTACTGGTTGAACTTACATGCTGCTCCATTTCTGGAGATTCTGAGCAATGTTAAAGCTCAGAATCACAATATATGTGCTTTAAAAGAGCGTTACTCCAAAATTAAATTTTCTCAGCTCTACTCCTGAAATCTTTTTAATTGAAAACACCAAAGATGACTTGTGGTCCACCAATTAGCTATGGCTCCTGTCCTTCTCAAGATTGCTTTGGGGGAAGGATGACTGCTAAAGATCAGATCAGTTCTTGTTCAAGGGGAGACTGCAGGACCACTCTGCAGTTAACTCAACCAGGATCACTTTGTCACTGGTGTGGGAAAACCTTCAGAGCAGTAAGAGCACGTCTGCAAAAACTGTTCCAGGACCATCAAGACTTCTTTGGATTTAGCCTTGAAACACTGGTTGTATTATGTTCTGTCCTCTGGATAATGACTGAGTAGGCTACAATCCAACACACAAAGACTGCTATTCTGTAAGTTTCAACAACAGCTAAATGCCAATACAGTTTACTATTGTTCTTACATGTAATTCCGTTCTATGTGGCCTGTTGCAAGCAATTAATGTTTGTCAAAAAAAGTGAAAATGGCTGTGTATAAGAGTGTGCATCTCCTACTTTAGTATATGAAAGTGAAAGTTAGGTATGTCTAGACAAACGTAAGACTAAGTTGAACACAGTAGGAATGAATTACTTCAGAAGTTTGTATGGTAAAACAAGAAAAGATGTGTGTCAAGGATGAATGGGTGCTGGATGAAGGTAGACTGAATACCAGAATTAAAGAGCAGCATAAAAGGTAGATGTTGAGGTGATTTAATTAGGATCAAATTGCAAAATGAACTATGAAGCCAGAGCGAAGGGGAGAGAAAGGGGAAGACTGAGAAAATTGCAGGGTGGAGTTGATGAGATCCTCAAAAAGAGAGAGGTAAGAAATTTAAAGAAAAGAAGGAAAATACAGTATGCATTTGTGTACTGGCATGGTGAAATCAAGGAAGTTTTGCAAGGAGAGTAAGATATGGAAAGGAATAGCAAATGTGTGGATGTAGATTAGTTTTGATTCAATTTCGTTTTCTGATCTCTAATCAATTTATTTTGTCTGCTACTTCATTTGTAAAGAAAATGTCATGAGAACAATGGGGGGGGGGAATTATTGATGAGAAACAATTGTGTTACAAGACAGGTTTATCTTTGACCTCCAGAATTTTATCTAGGACGTAGATTGGTTTCCCTTCTAACTCTTGAAAACTTGACTGCTTTTCTTGGTGTCCCTCTTGACATGAGTAACTCTTTGTGGAATTTGACCTTGAGTAGCACAATTGTGACTTTGCCAGTGAGAATCTACTAGACATGTAGGTGTTCCACCATCAGAAAATGTGTAGTACTTGAAACCATCTTTTCCAACCTAGCACTGCCTGATCTGTGGAGCTCTGACTTCTGTAACATCCAGTCATCGCAATGTATTCAGATGGGAGAAGTCCCCACTTTTAAAAGTGTTAATGATAGATAGATAGATAGATAGATAGATAGATAGATAGATAGATAGATAGATAGATAGATAGATAGATATGGATGGACAGATAGACAGATAGATTGTGCCTTTGAGTCAGTGGCAACTGCCTGGGCAAATCCCTAGAGTTTTCTTGACAAGGTTTTTCCAAAGTGGTTTGCCATTGCCTCCTTCCTAGGACTTTTTATAAATGGGTAACATCAATATCATGTTCTCCATCCTGAAACTCAGTTTCCGCTGCTTTCTGTAGGAATCATAAAACAGTTAAAGACTATATCATGTTGCAAGCAGACTGGGGGCCAAATAAGAGAATAGATCGGTGTCTCTCATGCTGGCTGGGGAAATCTGAGAGTTGAAGTCCACACATCGTTGCTGTGATTGAGAAACACTGCAATAGATCAACTCTGCTAAGTTCTTTCATACACATACTCAGAATTAAAACCAATCTATCATGTTTTCCACATTTGCTTCTAACCAACCCAGTGCTGTATTTCTCACCCCCCCACTCCACCCCTTTGGTTTCTACATACTCCACATTCCTTCCCACGGAAGTTCCCAGATCACTTTGAGAAGCTTCATTTCCCATTGCTTTAATTAAGCAAATTCTTATGTTTTCTTACTTTATCTAGAAGAATTTTTATTTATCAGTCATCAGCAATTAGAAAAATACAGTTTGGTTTAGTGGCTAGAGGCACTAGACTACAAACCAGGAGACTGAATTCTAATCTCTTCTTCTTTTTCCTCCTCCTCCTCCTCTTCTTTTTCCTTCTCCTTCACATATCCCTTCTCCTATCATTTGTAGCCTCATTTTCAATGAATTTGGTACTATACAGGTAATCAAATGTTTTGCATTAGAAAGAAGAAACTTAATCTGTTCTCTCTGAATATTGGCATGAAAAAGGCTAAATATAACGCTTACAAAGACTCCTATAGAAAGTACTGTATAATACTGCATTGTTTCAGTCTTGCCCATATGAATCTAGGGACTCAGCTGATGGTGTTTTAGACTATCCACCGTACCAAAGTGCAGACAGGAGAACATTGTGCCTAGTCCTGACACATTCTTTTCTCATTCTCGGGCAAGTAAGTGTATTTAGAAAATATTAAATATTAAGGCTACATTCTGTCATTCTGTGAGGTCTTCTTAACCTCATTCTAATATTGCATATAATTTAGACTTGGAGGAAAAAAATATTGTTTAGCCTGTTTTTATCCAATGAATATGGGGAATTCTGCTGAAAGCCCAGATGAGATTAATTTGTGTTTGGTATTTTCCAGCTGGACGAGAATCAAGTCATCTGTCAAAGTGAAGGGTAATAAAAAGGAAAAAGCAGCCTTATTTTATCTATTACATAGGGCTTTGGTTTCTTAATGTATCTGAAAAGCTGCCATTTAAATTAATCTAAACTAGAGGACAGAAGGAACTTCCTAAAGTCCTTTTCTTCACTTCTAACAGTATCGCCAGTATTGCTCTTTTAGAAAGAACCTCCTATCCTCAAATTCCAAACAAACAGAAAAATTAATACATTCATTTTAGAGAAGACTGATGAGAGATAGGCTCACTGAATAAATTTGTTCCTTAATAAAAAATGGGGGGAAACAATGGAAAAGCTAGTGCTATAGTATATGTGTGTGTGTACGTGTGTGTGGGTTTATATGGTTATTCAGATCACGTTTCATGAAAAATAACTAAACAGTAAAAGGTA